CTCAGATATTGCTGAAGGAAATGGAGGCTTTCCATCTGCAGCTCTTCTCTTTTCTTTCTGAGCATTCACCACACTCACCTGGAAGGTCCATTCTCAGCAAAAAAAAAAAAAAAAAACGCCTCTAAGCTTCCAGCCTCTCTCCATCGTCCCATTCTGAAGCCACTCTCTCATTTTTAGGTATTTGTTGGATCAGCTTCCCACTCCCACCCCCAATTTCTGTCTTAGTCCATTAGGACTATTAATAAAAGTGCGGCCTACACATACTGTGCATTTATTTCTCACAGTGCTGGGACCTGGGAAATTTAAGATCAAGGCACCAACAGATTCGGTGTCTAGCGAGGGCTCGCTTCCTGGTTCATAGAGGGCCATCTTCTTGCTCTGTCCTCCATAGTAGAAAAGTAAGGGCGCTCTCTGGGTCTCTTGTAAGAACATTAATTCTGCTCATAAACCAATCACCTCTAAGGCCACGCCTCCTCAGATCATCACGTGGGAGGTTAGACTCCAACAAGTGAGTTTGAGGAAGAACACAAACATTTTTGTGTTTTGAAGATAGCTTGCATTTTCCCCCAGGTCTTGGTTTAGACATCAAATGAGGGGACTAGAGTAGAAGGCAAAATTGTAAAGTTGCGGGGAGAAAAAAAGCATAGACTTTGGAGGCAGCCAGACCTGCATTCCAATTCCAGAATGTTACAGCTCTGTGGCCTTGGGCAATCAGATGTCTCGTGGACTCTGGACATTTATGTATCTACCTCCTTGGCTTACACTGAGATGCAATGGGGCCCTGTAAAGTCCTTGCACCACACCTAGCCCTATGCCAGACCAGGAGAAACGGGCATTTTTATAGATGGCTGCTTCCTCTGAACCTGGCCTTCTCTCATTTCCAGTTTGGGAAATTTCCTCTATGCTCATTAGCTGGGAGATCAGCTGGAAGGAAATTCAGGCTCCCTTGGAGAGCCACCTGTCTTCTCCATGTGTTGGTTTGAGATGCCCAACAGGAAGAAGGAATTTGATGAGATTCACCGAGGACAAATAAAAGTTAGAAAAAAGGCATCCAGCTAGTGATTAAAAAATGCTGTCAGGATAAGGACACCTCAGCCACATCACCATATGCATTTTTTTTTTTATTGATTTCCTTTTAGCGTTGAACGCTGGCCACATGCAAAGTACTAAGGGAGAATACAAAGACACAAAGGACTCACAATATAGCTGGAGAGGCAATGACACAGCCCTTAAAAAGCTAAATGACGATACAAAGCTGTAATAAAAAATAGGTCACAGGGGAAGCATTTCTACACAACAGATGTGGGGTCATGGATGGCTTGCTTGAGTTTGTCCATGTAAAAGTTATTGTACCAGGAATGGATATTGTCTGGGAATGGATGTCAAGAGATATTTAAACTTTTAGAATTATAACCATAAGAGACCATTCAATAGTAGCAATGCGTTCATATCTATTCTTTTTTTAAGTTTTAATTTGTTATATATGATAGCAGAATGCATTACAATTCATTGTACACATATAGAGCACAATTTTTCATCTCTCTGGTTGTACCAGATCTAGTCTTTTTTTTAAAAGAAAGAGAGAGAGAATTTTTTAATATTTATTTTCCAGTTTTCAGTGGAAACAACATCTTTATTTTATTTTTATGTGGTGCTGAGGATCAAACCCAGCGCCCCGCAAACCCAGTGCCCCGCGCATGCCAGGCAAGTGCGCTACCGCTTGAGCCGCATCCCCAGCCCCACCAGATCTATTCTTGAGCCTTAAGGTGGATGATGTTAGAAATACCCAAGTAAAAAAGAAAATATATGAATAGAGAAATTGGATCCAAAAAATGGTTAATAGAAGAGAATCTCAATGGTCAAATACTACTGGAGGTGGGGGGACAAGAAGAAGCAGATGTGGAGGGTACAATAGAAAGAGAATTGAGAATAATGGGTCATTGAGGGAACTCAGGTATGCTAGGTTGAACAGCATTACCCAGTTCTGTGTCTTTCCTAGAACCTCAGCCTCTGACCTTTTTTGTAAAGGAGGTGGTTGCAGATGAATTAGTGAAGATGAGGCCATGCTGGGGTGGAGTGGGCCCCTAACTCAATATGATTGGCGACTCCATAAGAAGAGAAAACAGAGACGCAAACACACAGAGAGCAGATGTCAAGCACAGAAACACAGGGAGGCCCTGGGTGCTGACAGAGGCCTGGGCGTAAGAGGCATCTACAAGTGAAGGAATGCCAAGGGCTGCTGGCAGCATCCGCAGTGGAGGGAAAGGCACGGAACAGATTTTCCCCTTGAGTCCTCAGAGAGTGCACAGCCTGCCAACACCTCGATTTTAGATTTCTAGCCTCCAGGACTGTGAGGCAATAAATTTCTGCTGTTTTAAGGTTGTTAGTCCTTTGTTCTGACAGCCCTAGGAAGCTAATACATCAGGGTATCTGGTCTCCTCAGACCCTCTGGTTTCTCCTGAAGAGTGACCTTGAGCCCTTCTAAACATCTCTGGTTTCTAGTCCTTTCTCCCTGTTTATATCTATAGTGACAGTCCAAGATTTCTGGCCTGCTCCCAAAATTGCCCTTTTCCCACCCACCACTCAGGAATCAGGTGGGGTGAGTGTGGACACCTCTGCTTTGATATCAGAAACTGATGACATGGGTGGAAAATGTGCATGTATGAGACAGTCACTATGAAAACTGAGTCACTGCCCGGTGTGGTGGCACATGCCTGTAATCCCAGCTGCTCAGGAGGCTGAGGCAGGAGGATGGCGAGTTCAAAGTCAGCCTCAGCAAAAGCGAGGTGCTAAGCAACTCAGTGAGACCCTGTCTCTAAATAAAATACAAAATAGGGCTGGGGATGTGGCTCAGTGGTCAAGTGTCCCTGAGTTCAGTCCCCAGTACCAAAAAAAGAAGAAGAAGGAGAAGGAGAGAAAGAGAGGAAGGAAGGGAGGAAGGGAGGGAGGGAGAGAGGAAATGGAGTCACTTTCCACTTCTGGTTCTCTGGGCACAGCCTTTGATCAAGTGCAGCTGCCACCAGGGTTGTCCTGCAGAGCCCTGACTCACTGGCTGGTGAGGAGCGGATAGTTGTGTCCATGGCATGACCTGGGCAGAACGACATGGTGCCCTGCAGTTTTCTGGGGCCTCAGTTTGCTTTTAGCATCAACCCCAGGGGCATTTCTCTATAAACAGTATTTTGGTCACCTTGAAAGTTACTGAGTTTGATTAGTTCTGTAGCTTGCATTTGAGAGAATCCAGAAGCTTTTCTCGAGTCTTATAAAAGGCCCAGCCTGGTTCTTTCATGGAATTTCCCATTGTTTACAACCCTGATGGACTTAGTCTACCCCCTGGACCCTATTGAGCTCTGCCTGGAAATGCAAGTTCACAGCCAAAGCCTCGCTGATTCCCAGTGATCTAATGGTCACTGTCCTTAGAAGACACTGCTACTGCCAGTTACATCTATTGAAACAGAAATAGTTGGGTCTGGGTAGCTTAGATGTAGAGCAATGTATCCAATACAATAGCCACTGGCCACATGTAGCTAGTTAAATTTAAATTATTTAACATTAATGTAGCTTAAATTTTATTTCCTCCATTATACCAGCCACTTTTCAAGTACCCAGTGCCACCTGTGGCTAGTGGCTACCATATCAGAATGTACAGATATGGAAGATCTCTCTTCCATCACAGAAACTTCTCTGGAACAAATCTAGTCTAGAGTTATTTGCTTTTCTAAGCCTTCCAACAAAAACTCCCTGCTCCTTTTTTACTACATGAAATTCTCTTTGATAAATATTAAGAATATGTCAATTCCATAGTAAGAGGAAAGTTGATTTTATTCACTTACTTTTAGAGGTCATAAAATAACTATTTATTGGTAGACCAATGTTTTCCAAGTGTTAATGTGGTTGGAAATCACCTAGGGATCTTGTTAAACTGTAGGTTCTGATTCAGCAGGTTTGGGTGGGGACATACAATTCTGTTTCTGTTTTTTGTGGTCTGTAGACCACACCTTGAGTCACAGGGAGTGATAGCATGTGACTTGTGAATGACAACCCTCTTGTTGTAGGAAGAGTCAGGAGTAAATAAACCTTGTGTGGCAAGACACAGGCTGAAGGAAATATTCTCATGTCCCATCACCAAAAGAGTAAGACTGCTCCTTTAGTGTGAATGTGAATGACAGCCAAGCTGAGCTACCAAGCAGAGCAGAGTTAGGGCCACACTCAGGAACCACACTGTCCAGATTTGATTCTTGACACTTAGCTGTGTCTCCTGAGGCAAACGATCACTGGACCTAGGTTTCTCTGTCTGGAAAGTGGAAATAATGCTAATACATATTTCACAGAGAAGTTGTAAGATATAAAATAAAGATGTAATGCAGTTGCAGATGTAAAATGCTTAGAACAGTTTCTAACATCCCATAAACACTGCATGTTAGGGTTAAACCGATCTGTGAATGCACCGCTCTCTTGCTTCCAAACAAGTGAATGTGGTTTATTCAGGATGAGTCGAAGCATTTCTGACCAGTCGTATCACTCAACTCTAAACAGATGCTAATTTCTCCTTGGTGGATTGAGGAAAGAGCAAGAGGTATAGGGGACAATATTTTGATGAAAGGTTGGATTCACAAAACATCCAGGATTGTAGTGAAAATGAAAAAGAAAAAAAAAAAACAGATAGAACCAAATGTTGGGCCCATGATTGACAGGAGTAGTCCAGGAAGGGCCAATCAGTGGTGGTATTACATCTCTCGGAGACAGCAGCCACTTGGCGGGCACCCTGATGACCCTCACTACCCAGTGCCCTTTCACATGCCTCCTTTAAAGAAACTTTTTACTGTGATTACTGTTGTTGTACAAAAGTCTACATTTGGAAATTGTTCAAGTCTCATAGAATCTGTTGCTTAAATACATCCCTTCAATGTGGGGGCACAAATGATTCTAAGTTGTTGAACTAAATGTGGTACAGGATTTTGCCATATTGATCATTTTTTAACCCTTCTCTTTCCACCCCAAAGCAAAGAGCCCAGCCAGCAACGAGTAAAAAGATGGGGTTTCTCTTTCGATGAGATACTGAAGGACCAGGTGGGGCGGGACCAGTTCCTTCGATTCCTGGAGTCCGAATTCAGTTCAGAAAACCTCAGGTAAATCTCTCAAAAGTTTAAACTATCCCGCCAAAGGTGTGTGAAGGAATCGGCATAATCCGTCTCTCCACCTCTTTTTCCTCAATTAAAACATTATTAGGGTTCATGTTTAAGTTCCAGCTAATCTGCCTTAGGTTGTAAAAGAAAAGAGAAAATAAAATATGCAACTCTGTGATCACCCATAATTGCATCTATCAACAACAGCATTTTTTAGTTTCAATTTGTTGACATTTGTTCAACTACCTGGAAACTTGTCTTTGATAATAATCAAATCCTCAAATGGATTTGATGACACCATTGATTAAGGAAAACCACAGAATCATGGAATTTCAGAGTAGACAGGCAGCTCCGATGACCTCTTCCCCAGAACTTCCCATCCCAGGCCAAAGCCCTGAAACTCTGAAAAGTTAAATATAATAAAGGAGTCAATGGGCTTGTTTTAGAATTTCAAAAAGGAGGATGGCGAGTTCAAATTCAGCCTCAGCAAAAGCGAGACACTAAGCAACTCAGTGAGACCCTGTCTCTAAATCAAATACAAAATAGGGCTGGGGATGTGGCTTGGGGGTTGAGTGCCTGAATTCAATCCCCGGTACCCGCCCCACCAGGAAAAAAAAAAAAAAAAACAACAATCAGAAAGACTCATGGAAATGTGACTTGTCTGAGACTCCTTAGTGATTTTAGCAAACTGGTGACTTCTCAGTGGATAAGATGGAAATTTCTCTCTCTCTCTCTCTCTCTCTCTCTCTCTCTCTCTCTCTCTTCCTCTTTCTTTTCTGTCTCTTCTTCATACCAAGTTCTCTTTAATTAAAGGTTTATTTCTAATATTACAGTGTTATTTTCTGAAAAAAGAGTTTTATTAATTTTTAATTTTTTTACTTGAAAACTCAGAGCATATACTGTGGGCAAAAGATTGTCCTGCCCAATGTTAATGTGCAAACTCCATGATGTTTATTTGAAGTTAGAGACCACTTCTGTCCCTTACACCAATCAGGTGACATTTATGACACATGTACGCCACAACAAGCCCCACCAGAGCCTGTGGAGGGACGCAAGACAGCCAAGATGTGTGATCTTTGCCTGCAACAACCTTGTAGGTCCTTGATTAAAAAAAAAAAAAAATTACAAGAAATGATAAAATCATTAAATGGATATGAATAAGTGTAAACTCTAAAACCATTTTGCAAGTAAGTAAAGGAGAGAAGAATGGATGCAGACCAGGCGAGGCAAATCGTAAGCTAGACTTTAAAGTACACACAGGATATCCACAAACAAAGAAGAAACAGGGAGAATATTCTATTAAACTGGGTATTGTAAGTACCCACAGGTGGCAGTGTGATTGCCCACCCTGTGACGTCCTGGGGGGGGGCGGTCAACAGATGCCACCCAGCCGTCTGTATGCTGTCTTTCCAGGCATCCCTATGCCTGTTATGAACCAAAGAAGGGTGAGTACCTTATTTTCAGGTTATGACACAAGAGGGCCACCTACACCCTTACAGAGAGTTTGAAGAATGACCACAGGGGTCCTGGTCATCATTAGGGTCCCAAGAACATCTGCTTGCTTAGCTGCTGCCTTATCCTGTGTGGAGCATTCATATTGAAAAGCCAAAGTATAGCCAGGGCCATGAATCAAATCAGGAGAGTTTCACCAAATATGCAGGACACTCAGGGCCCCGTGTGCACCAGGAGTGTGCCCCTGGCAGGTGTTCATGGCTTCCTCCTGCCGTCACCACTTGTGCCTCTGCCAGCTCCCTCCTCCATGCCAGGAGGGCTACATTTAATCTTGGGTGAAAGAATGTGCATGTGCATGTGGGATTCTGCTGGCCCCCAGCATGCATGCATAAATCCAGACTTAAAGAGGGTCGCCTCTGATCCACGGCAGGAAAGAGGATAAGAAAAATAGAACAGCAGAGAGAAAAAGTATAGCCCAAGAGCTCTAAAATCCTCTCTGGTGGCCCAAATTCCTTTTTTATGATATTCAGCATAATTGGATACAGAGAGGAAAGCTCAGTTTTAAATCACACAACTTTAGGACCCTTTAGTCACTTGTCACAAAGCAGTTTCTTCTCCTTCCTTCTGTGTTCATTCCTTCAACCACGGATGCTGTCTTAGCACCTCCCATGACTTAGGACCCAAAGATTCAGAGCTGACCATGTTTTACCCCTTGCGTGGGTAACGCGACTTGGAGATACTGCCCATCCTTTGTGTGGGCTGTGCTGGGGGTTTCTCTTCTCCCCAGGACTGGTCAAGAGCCAGGTTCCTGGCATCTGAGCAGGCAAGGAAACAGAGGGACTGACCAGACCCAGCTGGACACATCGCAAATGAAGTCCCCTCTCCACCTCCATCTTTCTGGGCTCACTTACATCTCTCAGCAGAAGACGCACTTAGATCCTAACACTGACACAGCACTTGGAGGGCCAGTAAGCAGCCAAGTGTTGAATTTGTATCAGAATTTCAGAATGAGGAACAAAGGAGCCCCAAAGTGTCACCTGGATCTTTTAAGGAAGGTGTGATGTGATGGAAAGTCCCTCTGATCATTTTCTTCTGGGCAAGTCTGTGAGATGAGCTATCATCTCCAGATGACAGGAGAGAGGACATGGCCAGAGCACATTTTGCTGTGGCCATCTGTGGCAGGGACTGCCTCTTTTTCTCCTTTGCTAACCCACCCTGAGCCGAGTACACAACTCCATTTGCATAGGGTGGTCCCCTGGAGACAGCTGTCACCTAAGTGCCTTTGGACTGTATGTCGCTTCCCACCCACCAGGCAAGGTCCTCAAATCTCTGAAGAGGGGAGCTAGGGAGCGCCACTGAGTGGATGACCTACTCCTTCTCTAGATTCTAGAATGGGTGGCTCCTTGTCACCTGTCCCAGCCCCATTCTATACATTCTATATCCCTGACACAAATCTTTGTCCTCCCTGATTTGACACCTCTTGCTGCTTTGGCAAGGCATGAGTTAAAAAATCAAAACCTGCAGCAAAGAGCGTCCCCCGTACATTTTTTATGAGCTGTAACGTCTCCTGAGAGAGCGTGGTTGTTCTTCTAACCTGCAGATTGATGATCCTAGTTCCACACCGTGTCGGCTGAAGGGAGAAGCAATTAAAAGAGAGCACGGGGGGCTGCTAGGTTTGTCTCCAGAGCCGTCTGCAGCCGTTACCCCAAGTCCTAGGAAGACCTCAGAAGGTTCACTAGGGCCAGCGGGATCCCCCACTAACCAAATGCATAAGTCAGAACCAAATGACTCCCACAGCACCGTGACCTCTTTGGCAGCCCAGCCAGTGCCCAGTGAGCACAGCTCAGCCTGGTGATGGGTTTGCCGATGTGGGCACCCCAGGATCTCACCCCAGCCAAGGAACTGAGCCCAAGTTTAATCCATTGTTCTGAGTCCCTGGTTGACCAGCAGAGGGCACAGAAACACTTCCATCTGCCGCGGAGTTTGCTTTTCTCTGGGAACCAACCCCAAGCTGTGTTTTCCAACACACGGAAAATTCTAGTTTGTAAAAAGATAGGGAAGCTGGAAACCGCGGGCTGCCGGACCGCCTGGCAGGAAGGAAAGGGATCAACCGCTCATGGTCCCTCTCCCCCCGGCCAGCCTCGGGGAGAAGATCCCGCTCCTTACCAGCAGCTAGGGAGAAAGGAGGCCACCTGAGGCAGCCCCTGGACTGTCCCATCCGTGCACCGCGTGGCTTCGTCCCAGTGGTTTCTGAGCCCGGCTGCCTCTCCCCCAAGGCTGTCCCCCCACCCACCCCGCCTGCTGCGTTCATTTCTAAGCCATTGCCATGGACTGAATGCCTGCACACGGATGGCCTCCCGCTGCTCTGGCGACTGGCAGGGACCCCCGAGGGGGTGAGGCAGGACAGGTGGTCTCCCTGATACCCTGGAGCCCTTGTGGCCTGCCAGTCATGACGGCCCCTCTGCTGGCAGCCGCGGGGGCTTAGTGAAGGATGGGTGGATTTGACGCTGCTGCTGGCATTTGACTTCCTGCTGCGCCCTCGGAGGAGCGGTACCTGCAGGCTTTTGATAAGAGCCGCCGCTTCGCAAGCCTCAGTGGGCCTCCCTTCCGCGGTGGATGTGCAGAGAGAAGCTTTTGTGGCTCTCTGCCGGGAGGTGGGGGGGACGTGTGGCCTGAGCGGGGAGCTGTGGGGTGGGAAGATGGCAAACACAAACCAAAGCCTGTTCTGAATTTCAAATTGACACAGAGGTTCCTCGAAGCCATGATGGTAAACACATACGGGATGTCAGGATGCTGTTGTGACAGCATTTTCTCTGTCACCTGGGAGGGATAAGGCAGGTCATCTCCAAGGCAGACAGAAGGCTGGGCTGTGTCCCTGTGTATGCAGGCAGAGAAAACTGCTGCCTCGGGATGTCACTCTATGCCCTACCCCTCCCCTCCTCTTTACCCCCTCCTCTCTCTCTCTCCTCCCCGACCCCTCGCTCCTCTGAACAGTCTGTTGTTTCTTCTTGTGCTTTTTTTTTTTTTTAATTCATGGTTCTCTCTGATGGAGGGAACCTTTTTCTTTTTATATATATAAAAGTTGATTAAATTTGATTCTGACATTTGCCATGACATCAGCTCCAGACCTTCTTTATACCCAGCTGAGTAGATGGCATTGATGTGGCTCCCACAGAATTCTGCAAAAGGGACCCCAAGGCCTCAGGAACTACAGGGAGTCTGTGGGACTCAAACTGCTGGGGTCCTCGGGGCCTCCCCAGGAGGGCTCCATTGCTCTTCCTCGCAGCAGACTGCAACAAGGGACAGAGGTAACAGAAGGAGACATCCCACATGACATTGATGGAGGAGGCAGAAAATCACCCTGTGTCATCCATTTGTGTGAGAAACTGCAGAGCAGAAGGGGAGGGAGGGACGCTAACCCAGAGAGTGGCTTGCAGCTAGGATTCAGCCTGGAGGGCCTCCAGGAGGGGACTGGCTCTCCCCTGCTCCAGTCTGTGCTTGAGGCCTCCCTGACTCGGTCTTCAGTGAGATGCCTGTGACCCTCCTCCCAGTCCTTTGAAAAGCTAACCCTGACCTTCTTCTTTAGATCAGGGCTTCCAGCATTGCTCACCGGCCAGTCAGAGAAAACCTCTTAGGGCTTTTGTGGCCAGATGATCATATTCACCTTCAGGTATCCCGGCTGTCCCTCACCTCAAGGCAGACCTTAGAGGTGGACAGAGAGCCCTGAGGAAGCCCCAGGATGGGCCTGAGAAGTGGAAGAGATGGAGGAGTTCCAAGACCCACCTGAGCAATGGGCAGGTTAACACTCCTTGCAAAGCCCTCTGGACTCTGGGTAAGAGAACTATTGTTCTCCTCTCCTCTGGGAGCCAGAGGACCAGTGGCACCAAGAACCAGTGGCAGAAAGGAGAGCTGGTGTTGAAGGACAGGTGACAATAGATTGCATCGACAACAGCCTGGAAAGCTAAGCAGGCCACTCAAGTGGAAATGCAAAGGGTCAAAAGGGGCAGTGTTGAGCCTGTGGCAGCCTCTCCCACCCCCTCCTGTGCCCCCCACCCCGGGGAGCCTGAAAGCATTTCACAGTTAAGTCTACCTAGAAAGTTTTTCTGTGCCACATTTCCTACCACCCACTTTGTACCCATTTCACAGATAAGAAAAGAGACACCTGGAAAGGTACAACAATTTAAGACAAAAGTATAACCTGAATAACGGAACTGTGTTTCTTGTTTTGCTGGTTGAGAGGCTGTCTCCCTCCCTGACTTTCTCCTGGATCTTCAGGATCCATGAGGGAACTGTGAGGGTTTTCTTTTAAGGAGATCATTCAAATCCTAAATGGCAAATCAGGACAAGAGTTGGAGCCCAGCATTCCCAGGGCATACACATACCCCTGCCCTTGTGGAAATGGGGCTGCATTACCCCAATATGCCACTGAGTGGCGCCTTTGGGCCACACACTTGACTCCTAAGCCATTTCTCTGAATAACAGAAAAATATGTTTAACCTTTTTAAAAAAAAAAAAAAAAGTACATCTTACTTTGGATGAAATTCGATGACAGATTGAATGCACTTTCCATCATGTGGTGGTTCAGCTTTTTTGTCCTCCTCTTTCATTGACTGGATTACGGGTGATATTCCCGTGACTGCGGAACCCGCAGAGCATGGGTCCTGTCCTCCTATCTCATTGCTGGGGAAACTGGCCTGTCCCCTTCACAGAGCAAAGAGTGTGCTGCTCGGCACTGGGTCCCACTGAAAGGCTGCCTTGGGAATCGTCCTTGGGACCTGGGAGCTGCTGCTCAGGAGTTGGCGCTGGTTGCTGCTGCTCTCAGCAGAAATGAGCTCACCCGCAGCACTGCCAACGCAACTCCCCTGCCCTGCTGAGGGATTATGGAGAGGCAAATGGAAGTGAGTAGGAGAGTGTTCTCTTTGGCACTCCTTGGAGAATCTTTGGCAGAGAGGTCGCCCATGTATGCCTATTCTGCTGTGTTCCAGATGAGCCCCTCTTCAATCTAAAAGTTCTGTATTGAGTACCTACTGTATGCCAAGCACCATATTGAACTCTGGTATGAACTGCTTAATTTCTCCATCTCTAACACAAATGGCTGGCTCACTCCAGCCCAGGTATTATGTATGATTTCAGGATTCTGCCTGCTCCTGTGATCTTTTCCTCATTTTGATGCCTCTAGTTGAACCCAACCATGGTCCTTGTGACCCATGTGGTGGCATCAGGGCTGGCTGGGAGATGCAACAGAATGAGTTTCATGCAACATCAGCTCTGAGACTGTCTCCATCAGGATCTGGATGAAACTATTTCTGCTTTCCCTCCAGGTTCTGGCTGGCTGTCCAAGATCTCAAGAAACAACCGCTACAGGATGTGGCCAAGAGGGTGGAAGAAATCTGGCAAGAGTTTCTGGCTCCAGGAGCCCCCAGTGCAATCAACCTGGATTCTCACAGCTATGAGATAACCAGCCAAAATGTCAAGGATGGAGGGAGATACACCTTTGAAGATGCCCAGGTTTGCTAGTCTACACCGATGGTTGTGTTCTAAGATGTTCTGTTCTGTGGTCCACCTCACCACTAGGCACTTTGAACACAAAGTCCAGGGTAGATAGAACGTGGAAGTTTTGTTATATGTAAGTCCCTCAACAGAAACCATTCCAGATAGGTGCACAACAAAATTCCAAAATTGTTTTCCGAGATGAATTATGTTATTACACAGACAGAAATATACAGTGACAGATGTTCCTCAGCTTACAATGGGTGAGGTTACGTCCGGTAAACCCCTCCCAAATTAAAATATCGTAAGTTGAAAATTGCATTCAATACAGCCTATCAGAGCTCAGCATACACAATACATCATAGAGCATTGGCTTTCTTCCTCTCCTAAGCCCATGGCTGACTGGGAGCTGTGGCCCACTGCCACTGCCCATTGTCTCCAGAGAGGATTGTACTGCATATCTAACCTGGGAAGAGGTCCAAATTCCAAGTACAGCTTCTGCTGAATGCCGATCATTTATGCACTATTGTAAAGTCAAAAAAAAAAAAAAATCCCAAGTCAAAACACCATCCGTTGGGGACTGTCTGTACATGTTTATCTTTTCCAGGAAAATCTTGAAGTGTTTTATAAGATCTGAAGTCTTGGAATAGGTCAGTTGTAGAATCTGCAAACCATAATGCAGCATGAGTAAGGTGCGCCGTGAGCTGACAGGGCCCATGTCTGTCTAGCTGTGACGTTCACACTCAAAACCACCACACTGCATGGCTTCCCTGGTGGTTTCCAACTATGCGGTTAGTATTTTTTGAGCACCTCTCTATAGCAGGCCCCGAGCTCTGTGATGAGACAACACGAGAAACAGACAAAAGCCCCTGTCCTCAACAAGATCATGGGCTAATGTGGCAGAAGACCAGTAAACAGGCAGTTTGAACAGTGCAAGAAGGGGCCCAGAGGGGTGAACAGGACTAAAGCAAGCTCACAGGAGGGACTCCCAGCTTGCAGGGCACACCTAGGATGCTCGCAGATTTTGGTGGGGCTGGCGGAAGAAACAGAAACCACAGAAGCCACCTTAACAGCTGGCTTAACCTTGAAGGCTGGGAGGTGCCATTTCTAAAGATACCTATCAGATCAGTTTCTCACTTCCTGCCCCAGAGACAGGGCTCAACCGTTGGCTGTTTCCTTGACGCCACTCATTTCTCTCACCTGTGGAGTCCCCAGAGGGAATTGGGGTGGTTTGCTCTCCTGCAGACATGGTTATCTGGTTTAGGAAACTCAGTCTTGTTGTACCCATACAAGTAATGACATGAAGACACAACCAGTGTCCCTGGTCATTTGCCCAGAACTTCAGATGGAAACACCTGCCGACCTGAACATCATACCAACCCTGTTCTCTCCTATAGTGAACACCAACAAATGCCTGTGCCAGGCAGATGTGATTCTCTGTCTCTATGAAATCATGAGTCCCCTGTGCCCTTTGAAGCTCTGAGGCAAAATATTTGAGTCAAAAGCACTCTTTTTTATTTCTGATATATTTTTGTATACTTACGTGTATATGATCCCAAGCACCATATTGGCATGGCCTAGTAAGGAGGGTGATGGAGAGGTTCCATGGGGTTCTTGACATGGATGATCTAAAACACGAGGCTCAACTCTCCATTATTCATGAATCATAGGAAGGGGGATACTGGTCAGAACCATGATATCCCCAGCCAGTGTCATCACTCTGGCCATGACATGAGGAAGGATTTGCCTTAATTTTTTATTTTATTATTTTCTTATTTTATTTTGGAAACTTTTAGACAGATGGAAGAGTAGAAAGAGCAGAACCACAAACCTTTATGGGCCCTTATTCAGCCTCAAGTCTCATCAAGATGTGATTGATCGCCACACTTAGCTACTTTTTCCCCTGGACACTGACCCTTTGGTGTTAATATTATCACAATTCCCAAATCACAATTTAACAAGTGAGCAATAATCTCTTGATATCACCAAACATCAGGTAAGTGTTTGGACTTAACAGTAGTCCCATAAACACCCTTTTTAAAAAATCTTTCTTTAAAATCAGAATTCATACATTGCAGTAGATCAACATTTAATTTTTCTTTAATCTATGGGATCCCTTTATCTCTTTCCCTCCCTCTGCCGCTATGCAATGTATTTATGAAGGAATTGTACCCTTTGTCCTAGATTTTCACAGTGTGGATTTTTCTGACCACAGCCTGATGGTGCTATAGAACATGTTCTTCTATCGTCTGTTATTTCCTATAAATCTGTTGCTTGCTTTAGATATTAAATTAGATTAAGGTTTGATTTTTGTGGACAAAATCACTCTATGGATTGTGTTGTGTTCTCTCCTCAGGAGCACAGAATGTCTGGCTGTCTCTTTTTGTGTCTTTAGTAGCTACCGATGTTTATTGCTTTGATCCATTAATTAATTAGGGGTTACAAAATGGGGGTGTTCTCATATGTATCCTTCTTTCTTCACCTTTTAGATGAAATGCTTTCAGGGAAAAAAAAAAACTTTTCTCAACTACTTAATTAACTAGGAGTGCAATGCATATAATACACTGCGCTGCGGTTAGTATTTTTTGAGCACCTCCTCTCTATACCAGGCCCCGAGCTCTGTGATGGAGAAATGTTTGAGTCTTTCCATTTATCTGCTAGTTTTCAACACAATGAGTAATGTATTATCTTCTGCCTTGTTACCAATCAGAGTTTTTTGTTCTGCTTTTAGTATCTTTGCAAATCATGAATTTAAGCCTATTGGATGTGTTTTCATCTCTTTTCTTTGTAATTTTTTTTTATTAATGCTTGGATTGTCCCATCTCTGGCCAGTTGGCTGCTGCTAATATGACCCTCATCGTCTTTGATGTCATCTAAATAGCTAAGAAACTAAGATGTTCCAGACTCTGCCCCAGACCTGGAAGAAGTCATTTCTCTAAGGACTCCTCTTGGTGGGAGATGATTTTAGGAACCACAATCTGGACACAGGAGTGCTCATTGTTCCTGGGTTGTTCATCATTAATAGGCCTTTTTGAGTGGATGGAGCTAAGTAGAAAATATATTACTATTGTTTGTAACAAAAGTTCATCAGGAGTTCATATTATGCTTTTGATTTAAATTTAGAACAAAAGGGCATTTTATTTAACCTCTTCTGTGTTAATCAGCCTTTTGTCACTGTGACAAAAATACCTGGCAAGAACAACTTAGTGGAAAAAAGTTTACTTTGGCTTGCAAATTCAGAGGTTCAGTCCATGGTCATCTGATTCCATTGCTCTGGGCTTGAGTGAGGCAGAACATCATGGCAGAAGGGTGTGGCAGAGGAATCTGCTCAGCTCAGGCAGCCGGGAAGCAGAGAAAGAGAATAAGAAACCAGGGCGAAGATATAAAAAACCAGAAGCATGCCCCCGTGATCCACTTCCTTGAGCCACACTCTGCCTACCTGCAGTTACCCCAAGATAGTAGGTTTTTAAAATTATTAATCCATTAGTGGCTTAATTCACTGATTAGATTAAGCTCTCATAATCTAATCATTTCATCTCTGAACATTCCTGCAGTGTCTCACACATGAGTTTTGGGGGAACATCACATATCCAAACCGTCATACCTTCTTACACTTGTGCCTCCTTTCTCTATGCTGAGAATCTGATTCTCAAAGACATCATGGATGATGGCTTATTACCCATTTTCTGTATCGTACATTAGCCAGAGGAGTCTGGAAGTTGCATTGCCAATGCGGAACAATTGGTGGAAACCCTGTAATTTAGTCAACCAGTCCTCCTTCCTGGGACACTTACATTGTTTCTAAGTCAAGATGGATTTCATGGGAGAACTTGACAGTCAGCAAGCACATTATGTATGACTTGGCAAAGTTTTGAATACCCGGCCTTCATTACAACAGTGTTCTGCAATCTTTCGGGTACTTGCAAATACATTTTATCTTATTCCTAAAGCAATCTTGTGAGGTGGACCAGATATGAAGATCTATCACTCTGGATCTATTTTTCTCCATATCTGGGAAAAGCCATCTCCCATGAATTCAAGTAAACACCCTTCCACAGCTAATTTTCAGCCTGTTCCCTGTTATTTCTTAAGGAGCAGAGTGACCTGAGGCAGGTTACATAAATTCCCTGGAGTCTTCCTTTCCTCACCTGTAGAAGACAGATATAGAAGAACCTATGCAGGTGTGAAATGGGGACCAGGGGAAATGGACCACACCAACTACTAATAGTAACCAGCCCTCAGTAAGACAGGGAAAATACTTACTACTTTATTTGCCATGAATAGTCTTTTAAAAATACTGTACTCATAACATACTTGATGAAAAATTCAAATAATTGCAGGTAACATTAGCACCCAGAGAGAACCCCTATTTTGGTATATAGCTATTCCTCAGTTTACAATGGGGGTGCATCCCGATAAACTCGTGATAAGTTAAAAAATATTACAAGCCAAAAAAGCATTTCATACACATCAGCTACCAAACCTCATAGCTTAGCAACCCAGCACACTGTAGAGTATCAGTTGTTTGTGATCACAAGGCTGATGCGGAGCTAAGTTTCACTGCCCAGTATTACAACACTGTCATACCACATGTAGCTAGTCTGAGAAAAGATCAAAACTCAAAGTTTAAAGTCCAGTTGTACTAAATGCATATAGTTTTCATATCACCACAAAGTAAACAAGTTGTAAATTAAACCATCCATCCTAAGTTGGAGACCCATCTATATTTGCTTACTCGGTTTTTCTGTGTTAGTCTGCTCAGGCTGCTATAACAAAAATATCACAGACTGGGTGACTTAAACAGGAAACATTTACTTATCACTATTCTCAAGCCTGGGAAATCCAAGATGAAGTTTCCAGCAGCTTTGTTCCCTGATAAGGGTCCTCTTCCTACATTGCAGAAGCCCACCTTCTTGCTGTGTCCTATTAATGATAGTAAAGAGAAAGAACCCTAGTCTCTCTCCTTTTACAAGAACACTAATCCCATCATGGGGCCGCACCCTTAGGACCTTATCTAA